TTTCATACTGTCGGATCTATATCCATATATTTGCTTATATATATATATATATATATATATATATATATATATATATACATATATATATATATATATATATATATATATAAAATGGATTAAGTCCAACAATTATTTAATCTATTTTCTGTTTACACATTATTTTGATAGATACAATTTATTTAAGTAAATGCTGTTTTCTTAATTAAAAACAGTATTAATTACATTAACCAGCCTAAATGTTTGAGAAATTTCAGAGAAAATATGTGCTTCTCTGACAGAAATCAAAACTGTGACCTCAAAGAGAACCATCATTTCATCTGATGTGTTGTTAACGATTCAGCCAATACTGGTTAGAAAAGTTTGAATTGCTCTTTATAAACAACAAATATTTGATGATCTTTCCCAAATGATATCTTTTTATATAAACAGAAAATATATTATATAATTGTCAGACTTAATGCATTTCATATGTTGTCAATGTTTACATTAAGGTACATTTTGTGAGCAGATATGATCATTGGCTGAATGGTTAACAGCACAATGGATGGTTAACTACCCAATTTTACTCACAAGGTTTAGGTCAATCCATGGTACAAATTTCAGGTACTCTCCAATGAGATTGCCTACCTTCTTGACGAATTGGTCTAGGGTGAGATTCAAACCCGAATCTCAAGGTCAGAAAGTGAACATTCTAACCATATATATATATATATATATATATATATTATACATATGAATATATATATATATACTAGCAGCATGGCCCAGCGTTGCCCGTGCTTGATTCAAAAATCGTATGACTCATACAGCAATCGTTATCACTTGACTTAAAATATTTTTGCCCTTCCTTGCCTTTAAAGGAGTGCCTTTTGCCGTACTGATGTTGCTACTTGCCTTACTTCTTGCCTATCTGACACTGCAAATTTTTTCTAAGCTCTATACTAAACATTAAATCTGTTACAAAAAAAGAACTAAACAAAATGAACACAAAATGATCAGTTTTAAAAAAGGACTCATAACTGGAAAAACCGAATGAAAAAAGAATGTTAACAACAAATACTTTTTCACACCCAACCCAGTTCTGTGGATTCAGAATTAATGTTGAGTTTAAGCAAGCGAATGAGCCAATTGGAGTAAAGTGCCATGCAGATTTAAATTTTTCCCACTTGTGACGGATGCAGCTATCGATTTTTTTGCATGCTAGTTAATATTCATGTCAGTCAACTGTTGGCTCTCACGCTGACCAATAGAATCTTCCTGCCTATTCGTGGCAGCCAGCTATAGGCTCTCACTCTGGCCAGTAGAAAATTGCCACAAACTACATGAAAACTGCCGTAAAAGCATGAAAAAATCGATTATTTCCACTATCAATGGGAGTTGGTTGTAATGTCAGTTTTGGCCTTCCCAGTAACTTGGAGCATGTGTATGTAAATTTTGGTGCAAATCCGTTGAAAATTGCGACTGTGCATTCATTACACACACACACATCCTGCCTTTTATAAATTTATATATATATATATATATATATATAGATATATATATTATGCATATTAATATATATATACTTTTCTCAGTTGTGTTGTTAGACAATCATCTGCTTGACAGCAAGGTGAATTTGGAAGGTTCAGATTTCTAAGAAGAATGGTGAGTATTCCAACATTGTCAGAAGGAACACGAGGCAAACATTGTTGAATAACTGATTTGGATTCTGAACATTTTTAGATGTTTTTCAAAATTCTGTTAGCTGACTTGTACATCTGAACCTCCTCACAAATCTGTTGAAGCATCTTTGAAATTATTTCTTTAACTGCTTTATATTTTCGAGCAAGAATACTTTCTGCACAGAATTGCTGAAAAGTTCTGTTGCTATGAGACATTTAAAAAAAATTTAAACAGCTGAATGTTATCCTGACATACGAATCTATCTACAATAATGTAAGTTTTTGGCCACAATTCAGATGATAAAAACCACTACTAATTTAATTTCCAGTAATTGCTGGTAACCGCAACGCTTGATTTTGACCATATTTGCTCTATCATTCATGGAGTCAAAAAACATTTCTGTACTTATTTACATTATTAGACTGGAGAGGGATAAGCTCCACCAGGTTAAAAGGCCCAAAACATGCCACAGGATGAGTACACCAAAAAACCATTTGCAGAACCCATGCTCTGGTATACATCCACCATAGATGTAGGAGAAAAGTGGACAGCTCAGCATGTCAATGTCCCAACGACTCCTTCTGGGTCAAGGGTGAAAGAAAAAGAAGAAGAATAATAATATGTGGACTATTTTCTCCATCTTTGTTGTTATCACAATGTTTTGGTCATAGTTCTCTTCGATCTTCATCAGGTGTATGTTGAGGCAAGTTACGAACAGGGAATTTTGAACTGAACCTTTTATTTATTGACATACACCAGAGGAGACAACAGTTGAAACACTGTGATAACAACAACAAAGATAAGGACAATAGTTCAAATGTAAATAATGATAACTCCTCGTCCCAGAAATTAAGACAAATTTTTGTACCTCATAGCAAATTAAGTATTGGTTATCAGCATGAAATAATTTTAGTGTCTGCTAATAACACTTTTTACCTCAGGGTTTAAGACGACACTTTAACAATGGACTAACTCTGTATGGGTCAATGCTGATGCTGGTCAAATCTGGTTGTTTGTTGCTGGCAGCTTTGATCCTCATCAACTGTGCCCATGCTGTGTTCTTGATCTCAGAGCAGTGGAATATTGAATGTTGTAGTATCATGGCACTGGTTCAAGACATGGCAGGTGCTATATTAAGGAAGAGAATATCTCCACTACGGAAAAATAAAACAAGAGATTCATGGAGTTAATTTTCAATTGGTTTATATAGTTCTAGGTACAACAAAAATTAACTCTTTCTGCATCAATCTCTATAGTGTCACTGGGCCTTGTCTAAACTTCTGGAGGAGCTGGTTTCAAAGTTCTTGGAATCAAGAAATTTGATGGCAACCAGCATGGATTTCAGAGGTACTCAATGCTGCTTCCCAGCCCAAAGTTTCTAAGTTCCTAAAGCCATCTGCTTATATGCACTTCAGCCCAAAACTGACATGGGTTTGGTGGATTCGGTGATTCCTCAATTTTTACATTAATTGCAATAAATGCTCTTTGTTCCCTATTTCAGATTTATTAATCAACTTTCCAAATTTGGAGAATTATCCATCTTCCCTGGGAGTTTTCACAGGGATTACCACTCTTAACTCCAACTTACTTCACTTCACATCTTGCACCACTACTCCACATAGGCAGTGCTAAATCGTACTTCTTTCTCCTTTGTACTCTAATTCTGCCCACCTCTCAGGCTGGCATAACTGTCTTTGTGACAAATCTAATTTTTAAAGTGCATAGGTGAAAGGGCATAGTTTATTAATTTCAATTCTGTGACTCTCTTTCACTTCCCTAAAATTACCTCTGTCCAGCAAGAACATAAACCAGACTACTGCATTCTCATTTAACCTTCCAAGCAACAGATAAAATTATTTCCCAGTTTGTTTACTTAAATTCTCAACAAAGAGACATGCTGTTCTCCATTGGCCAATCGCTGCTTAGCGAAAATGCAAACCAGACCAACAGCCTGTAATGACAGGATCGATTTTCATAACATCGACACTTACAGTGGGTTCATTCCCTGTTTTCATTTTTCAATTCATTTTCGTCATCAAAAATATAATTCTTGTCTGTTTCTCTTCCTATTAATGAGATGTGTTTTTCTAATTTCTCAAGAAAGAGATAAAGCCATTTCCCAAATCATTTAACTCACAAGCCAGATTTTTGATAGATAAAGAAAAATAAACTCTTGGTGCATCATTCCAATTCATAGTGGGGAAACAATCATGATGACACTTTTTTCACTTCCGCATTATCAAGAAAAATATCTTCCATTCTCTCTATCTTCCAGTTTGTATTTCATTTTGGGCTTAACTCTTTTTCTGCTTAGAATTAACAACCACCTCACAACCTCAGTGTCACATACTTAGTAACGAATTCAATCCTCACTTGGTTCCCCATACTAAATTTGATATTAGACAATCTGTAATGAAGTAAGGGTATCAATTAAATGATAATGAGACTTGAACCTTCATTAGTTAATATTTTATTCACTCAAATATTCTGTCAGTTATTCAGCTAGACTGTGGGTGCACCCCCAAGGGTCCTCATTTAATACATGGATCTTATATTTTCCATTTTAGGTGTATGATCTTTGGGGTAGTTGTTTATATATCCATCTGTCCAATGTTCTTGTTTCCACATTAGCTACTGAATGCAGGTGTGAGCTCACATACTTCTGCATTCGTTGACCAGAAGTAATCCTAAATCAAGCGTCTTTTCCAGCATAATGCTTCAGATCCATCAAGGATTGACATGTTATAAAATCCACGAAACAAGCAAGAAAATTCAGGATCTCACTTTAATTTGTTAGAAACTACTTCAGTTGGCAAGAAGTGGTGAACTTAAATGACCTTTACAGCTTATATTATTAAGGTTTTCCACTTATGGCTGCAATGTTGGCACATAAATACACACACACATGCAGGCTCTCACAATCTTAGGCATAGTAACATATATTCATTTGTTTTTAGTTTTTTTTATTTTAATTGAATTATTTCTCAACATATTTAAAGAATCAGTCAATCTTATAAAAAGATAAACAATAGTTGTAGAGGAAGAATAGACCTACAAAAACATAAAACACTGCACTGATTAATTTTGTTTTTTATGACTTATCAACCTTTTTCAGGCTATTTAAAGGCAGAAAATATTTTTAGATTGAATTGTTGGGCAATAATAATGATTTACTGATACAAGTTCTACTAATTAACCAATAGCTAGGGGGGGGGAGAGGTGGATTGATCCACCCAAGGGATTTGTGCATAAGTAAATATAACTAAACTCAACTAGACTTGAAACTCGGCCCACCAATTTCCACTTCCTAGTTGTTATCCATTACACCACCTGCTTATCCAACACCTGGTATTCCCAAACTGTTACCCACCTAGGTACTGACCAGGCTTGACATTGCTTAACTTCACTGATCATATGAGAACCAGTGTTTTAATGCATAAAATATTTTGTATGTTAATTCAAATAACATTGTAAAAAAACAACCTAATTTATCTGACAACCCAATATATATATATATATATATATATATATATATATATATATATATATACATATATATATACATACACATATATATATATACACACAGATATATATATATACATATATATATATATATATGCATATATATACACACACATATATATATATACACATATATATATATACATATATATATGCATATATATATATACACACATATATATACACACACACACACATATATATATATATATATGCATATATATATATACACACATATATATATATACACACACACACATATATATATATATATATATATATATATATATATATATATATATATTCCGCTTTGATTCAAATTCTAGTTTAAGTATCATTTTGAAGGATATTTGTAAACAAGATTTAGTAAGAGTTGCCATTTTGCGGTGATTTAAAATTTGATTCTATTTTTAGTAAGTTAGATTCTAAAACAATGAAAAAGCAGTCACCCATAATAAGTTCTAAAAGATGTAAAGTTGACTTTGAATGCTGTACTTTTAAGAAGGAATGAAAAGTATTTCTTCATAGAAAATGGTACAAAACAAAAAACTGTATGCCTGATACTTGTGTTATATAATTTGAAAAGACATTTTCAGTCAAAACATGGCAACTTCGGCCAAAACTTTTCCACACAAGAACTTCAAAACAAAGCAATGGACATGGTTAAAAAACTGAAATGCCAACAAGGCATACTTATTAAATGTACATCTACACAAGAGCTTGCAACAAAAGCAAGTTTTATAAATAAGACTGCAAAACATAACAAACCATTTCCTGATGCAAAATTTTTGAAAGAATATATAATTGATGCATTTGATACTATGCATCCAGAAGTAAAGTCAAAAATATAAGCAATTTCATTGTCATGGAGAATGCTTGTTCATAAAATAGATTCCACCACTGAAAACTTGCATAGAAAACTTTTGGATACTGCAGATAAATTCAAATGGTTGCTGATTTTCATTCATGGTATTGATGAAAATTTCAACATCACAGAAGAACTGTTGTCACTGGAGAGTCTCAAAGACACTACTTCCTGAAATGATTTCTATGAAAGTCTTATGTATTGTTTTGAAAATTCGCAGTTATGCCTTGATAAATTTGTGAGCATAACAACTGATGGGGCACCTGCACTAATTGGGACACATTGTGGACTTGTCAAATGGCTAAAGGACAAGATTCAGTCAAACTTCCCACTTCATAAGTTCTTCTTCTTGTCTTGTAACGACATTCACTTGGGGTGGGTTGAGCCGGCTCCAATATTGGAATTTCATGGGAATTTGGAATTCACAAGCGGTCCCCAAACCCACATGTATAGCACATGAGATTTGATTATAGTGGTGAAGGTTTCATGCAGGACCATCCACACTTTTTGAAGGGCTGATTACAGAGACCTGGTGCACTACGTGCCACAAGGTCCCCAAACGACCCTCTGCATGTTTTGAATTCAGAGTTTTCCTTCTCCTAGACTAGTTGCCATCCAAGGCTATAGAACCCAGTCTGTCCTGCTATTTGCCCATAGCTGGAGGGAGAAGAAGAGGATTTACCCCCCCCCACACACACACTTCACAAGTTGCTTTCATTTCAATGCATAATTCATCAAAAAAAATCTTTGCAAAGCAAAATTGGATTTTAAACATGTAATTGATCCAATGGTATGTGCAGTAAATATAAGATCAAAGGGGACTAAACCATAGACAGTTTTAAAATTTGTTGCAAGAAATTGAGTCTGATTTTTCTGATGTGTTGTATTACACCAATATAAGGTGGCTAAGTTTTGGAAAAATTTTGAAAAGAGTATGGGACTTCAAAGAAGAGATTTTCATATTTTTTAAATTTAAGGATGTGGCTTGTGACTTCTCCGCCAAAACAAAGGATGCAGAATGGATGTATGATTTTGCATTTGCTGCAGATATCATGCAAAAAATGAATGAGCTCAACACAAACCTTCAAGGTAAAGGTGACTTTGCTCATGATTTATTTGTGAAGATAAAATCCTTTCAGACAAAGCTTACAATTTTTGCTAAACAACTGTCTGATCAAAACTTTGCTCACTTCCTCCTTCGTGAAAGATTAGCCTATTGAATATACATCTACACAAAAATACAGTGGACAGATCACAGCCCTGAAGGAAGAATTTGGTAAGAGATTTGCAGATTTCAAAGCAATAGAGTTGCAGTTCAACATGCTGAGGTCTCCATTCACCTTTGACATTGAAACTGTGACTAATGAACTACAAATGGAACTCATAGACTTCCAAGCTGACAATTCTTTGAAGTATAGCTTTGAAAACAAATCTTTAGTTGAATTTTATGCATTTCTTCACCCAGAGCATTTAAAAAATTTGAAAGACTTTTCAAGAAAACTGTTTGTTCTCTTTGCATCCTCTTTCATATGTGAGCAAATTTTTTCAAATATGAAAATTATCAAAAGCAAAAATAGATGTCTTTTGATAAAGTCAAATCATCAAACAGTATTAAGAATTAGCACAAGCAGTTTGGAGCCAAAGCAAACTAGTCAATGACTGCAGTAGACTACATCAATCTCATTAATTATACACCTACTATTTTTCTTACAATACATTTTTCTTGCATTTTGTTAATTATTTATGCTATAATACAATTTTTACATTATAGTGAATTATAATTAAATTTTACAACTATCAAGATGTTTTAAATAATTAACTGATCATTAAAATTTTTCACTGTTTCATGCTGTTACATTTTCAGTATACAGTCTTCAAAAGCATCTAGCTCAGTAGCCATGTCTATAGTAACAATGCAGCCCACTAAGAAAGGTAATTGCTCACCCCTGATCTAGAGCAATAGTTTATCAAGAGCTTGGTATACATATTCAGTTATAGTTGTAAGCACATCAGCTGTAGATCGGGCAAATTGAAAACTATATTTTTTATCAGAGAGCAGATTGCAGGAGTTGAGATGCTTAACTCTTTGGCATTGATTAAAGCCTCAAAGACTTTGTCAAAGAGTGCTAGGCGACTGATGGGACAGTGGTTAGATGGGTTAGAAGGGTCTTCAGAGTTCTTAAAGACTGGGATGACAGTGGAGGACTTCCAACAGGCTGGGAAGCAAGAATCAGTGAGCAGTACTTGTATAGTTTGGAGAGAACTGGAGCCAGCTCAGCAACACATTTCTTTAGGACTACGGCTCGTATCCTGTCACCACCACTTGCTTTATGAGAGTCTAATTTAGAGATTATTAATACCATCGATGAGGTTATGCACATCTCACTGAATATAGCCTCAGTTCTTGGGGGAAAATCAAGTGTGGGTATCCTGAATGAGTTGTGTGTTGAGTTGGATGAGAATTTCCTAGCAAAGCATTCAGCTTTATCAGCTGAGTATGTTAGGACTTTGAATAGAAGGTATTAAGGATTTGCTGTAGTTCAGTACACTCTTGCAGAGGTGTCAATAATCAAACTTGCACAATTCTTTTAGATTTTTTTGGCTGCATATCCAGGATTCAAAACTTCCTTTCCACCACATCCCAAAGGATTCCACTTTAACAAAGAAAAAACACAATTTGCATTCCATGAACTGATCTTTCACTATTTTTTATTTGTGAGAGTGCATTTTCCCACTGAAAGTGTCCTCCAGGGGATAGGTGCACCATAGTCATAAATTGATGCATGTGGTCAGCCATAATAATAATAGGTTGTGATATTTAAACAATTTTTATTGATACCAAGCCTGTGTCATGCCAGACAGTTTTTCTTGCCTGAGTCCATCCTTCAAATCTACAAATCAACCATTTGTCTTTGCATGGAATACTGCTGCCATATATGGTCTGCTTGCTCCTGCTGTTTATCTCAAGGTCCTCGACAAAATCCAGAGACAGGTATGCAATGTGGTTGGTCCTGATCTGGCATCCCGTCTGCAGTCACTATCTCACAGACATGATGTGGCTTCCCTCTGTCTTTTCTACAAGTACATTCATGGCAACTGCTCCAATGAGCTACTTTCACTGGTTCTCAAACTGCATGAAGTGTGCTATTAGGTTGGCATTTCAGTCTCAACCTTTCACTGTCAAAATGGCTAAATGTAGTCATCTCTTTTACTCTAACAGCTTCTTATCTTGCACCTCCTGTCAGTGGAACTCCCTGCCTATCACTTGCTTCCCTGATAGCTATAATCTTCTAATATTCAAATGTAATGTCAATCGACATCTTCTGAAGCCTTGACCTTGATCCCTGTCTTTCTCTTTATCCTTTTCCCAAACACTCTTCTTTACTCTTACTCTCTGTAAACCCTTGCATGCTAGTGGCACTCCTGCATTGCTTGGGGTAATTTGCATAAAAAAAAAATCATTACACAACCCCAATCACCATCACCAGCCTTAACTGGATTGATCCATACCTTTCATATTATAGCCAAATTCTGGTTATACCATCCAAATAGCAGAGGAAATTGAAATTCCTCAAACCTGGCATCATTTTTTTCAGTTTTTGATTATCCAATTTTTGTGATCCTTAGTGAATTATAGCCATAGTTTCTTTTTTTCTGACAAGAGTGGCACCTGGTGTGGTCTTCTGCTATATATATATATATATATATATATATATATATGCCTTATGTATTTACATCCATAAACATACACGTTTCATTTTATATATGTGAATGAAAATAAATTGCAAGTGATTTTTCTAAAGAAATCTAGTAAGAGTACTATGAAGAAAAAAGGTATTGATAATTGTCAGAAATTAAGACTAGCATTACCGATGATACAGGGATGTTAGCTATATAATTCTATATATTAGCCATATAATTCTATATATTAACCATATAATTCTATATATTAGTCATATAATTCTAAAAAATAGCTATATATCTCTAAAAATTAGCTATATAATTCTATATATTAGCTATATAATTCTATATATTAGCTATATAA